AATTTTTGATATCAAAAAAGTTCTCTTCTACAATTTTTTGATGAAAAGTCACAGCGGCAATGATGTTTTTTGTCATTAACAGATAGTTACAGGTGAATAACCTTTGTCAATAATAACAATAATTTGTCAAACTGTGACTTACTTTCACGACTTTGCTGATATGCGATTAGTTCAGGGGAAATGCTACAGTAACATAGCATAAGAAGGATAATAGCATAGGATAATAAGGAGATTACACAGGCACTAGCTTATTTGGAGTTAACCATTAAAATGTTTGGTGTTGTATGGTTATTTATAAACACCCATATTCAAGGTGATGAGAACAGGTTGACATATCGAAAGTACGTTCCGCAGTCAACGAATCTTGTTGAATTTACAATTTATCCTTGTCTATCTTATTGTCACTTTGTATAATTCCATGGTTACGGGAGTTTTAAATAATTATGAAGCAACAGGTATTTGCCCAATGTTAATTAGGCAGATTACCTTGAAAAACATTGCTGCCGTATTTCTGATATAGTTTTTTGGAAATTTCTCAGTTTTTTATAACAATTAATTTCTTTTATTATTTTTTCTGTACTCCCAAGACACCCCCAGACAACAACCCCAAAGGAATAACGCCAATTTTGAATCACCCTGTATATTGGGAGCGAAAGTTCTCAACTTCTCGTGTTTTTAATACTATTTTATGTATTGTACAATATCTTAGTCTTCGAGGCCTATTTTCTGCCTTTGACGGCGTTCTGGTGCCAACTTTTAAAACCATTCCCACAGCCAACTAAAAGCACTGTGGAACCTTTATCGATAAATTAATAATAACACGGCAAACGCGGACAGCGCCGGCCACCTGAACAGTGATATTGCGTATGCTCACTCTATGGGAGAAGCGCCGCCCATTCGATCTACCGAAGATCAATTCTGCATCAAAAACCATTGGTCTTCGCGTCGACGGGTGCACGCTCGGCCATCCGCCAAAACAATCCCCGGCAAGGTACCGGCTTCATGGAGGAAGGAATGCAAGGATATCGAAAATATGCCGAGCTACGCCAGACTCTATAAAGCACTCTCAAAAGAACCACAGCAAAAAGTGAGCTCCCTGAT